GGCTACTCATAAAGTAAAACCAACAAGACTAGATGAACCAAAATGCTTTGATATTGAAAGTGAAGAAGATACATGGCTAGACCCAGACCCAGAAGAAGAAATAAAATGGTTTAGTGTAAAATCTTGTCTATTCTTTATAGGCAAGACAGAAAATAGATTTACACAATATAGATTTATGTAAAAAATTTTTGTTGTAAATTCTAAATTTGTATATACATTAATAATTAATAAATAAATTTTTAACTTCTAATACTTTATGAATCGTCTCATTCAATTCAAAGGAATTATCCTAAATGAATAATTAAATAGAATAATAAAATATTCTAAAGTGTCAAATTCTAAACGAAGATAAAATAATTAATATATCACTTTGATAATTTGTTGTGGGTAGAAAATTTATAAATTCTTCTGTATATTGATAACTTGTTGGCTTGTCGGTTGAAGAAGATAATAAACCAATTGAATAAAAATTCCACCATGTTCAAAAGTATTAAATAAAATCAATACATATTGCCGAGAAAAACTTCTCGACAATAATTATATGATTGCTTAAGATAATTTAACAATCAAGAGATAAATCTTTCTGGAAAATTTTCAAATAAAAAGTTCCAATAATAAAGTGAAATTATTGAAACTGTAACGAAAATTGTAATTGCGATTATTAAAATATATACAGTAATCGCACAAATCCAAAAGAATATTTTGGAATAGATAATTTTAATAATGTATTGGTAAATACAATCTTTGTATTCACCATAAAAAAGGTTTGTAAGAAACAAACCGAAAATGCAAATAAAGACAAGAGAAGTGTAAAAAGTTTGATGAATCATTTTGTTTAAGTTTAAAAGTCTTGTTTAAAGATTTGATTATATGTTTGAATTTTTGCTTTGAAACAAATAAATCGTAAAGAACAGTGAAAACATTTTGTTAGGATTTTTATAGAACTCTAAAACTCTATTAAATTAAAGTTTATGCATACAACATTCGATAAAAAATTTTGTACAATGAACGAACAATATCAGATTTCTTTCAGCTAAGAAAAATAAAACACTTATTAAAACAATTGGTGTATTTGTTTTCTTGATTGTTAAACAGACTTTTGTCTGTTTAACGCACAAGAAAACAAAGAACCAATTGTTTTACTTATAATAATAAAATTATAAATAAAGCTTAATTTAGATTTATTCAACCTATATTTATAGATTTACAACCAAAAAAAAATAAAGTTTTTTTTAATAAAAAATATTTATTTATCGATTAATATATTTATTTATTATAAATATAAACTAATAAAATATAAATTTATTTATAGATAAGTTAAAAAAAATAACATATATAAATTATTTACATTGAGAACGTTGTGACATGTAATATTCAAAATTTTGGATGTTTTTGTCCTCTAAATATTTATCATAACTATCATATTCTCTCTTTTGTAAAAACCCTTCATAACCATCATCACTCTCATTTTCCTCATAATCAAAATTATTCGTATTGGCAGTACGATAATTTTCATTATATTCCCTTCCATCATCATTAAATGTATTATGATAAGCTTCATTATAATTATCATAATTAAAATTATCTTCTGAATCATATTCAGGTTTAAACTTTTTAAGAAAACAATCCTCACAACTACCTCCATACTCAATACAACTACATGCACTATCATCATCATCACTTATTGAAATGATAGTTTGTCCATCGAATTTTAAGCTTCCCTCTTCTGTTTCTTCTTTTTTAACATTTTCTTCATCGATCACATTCACTTCATTTTCTTTCATATCATTAACTTCGTCAACATAATTAACAACTTCATGTTCAAAATGTTGATAATCTTCATTATCTTCATAAAAAACATCCCAAGCTGTACCAAAATGATAATAAGCATTGGTAAATAAGTTTATATGATATTGATTTAAATCATCAA